TGAGTTGGAGTCTCACTCTGCTGCCCAGGCTGGAGGGCAGTGGCCCACTCCTGAGCACTGTAGCCTCGACCAGCTGGGCTCAGTCGATCCTTCCATCTCAGCCTTCCAAGTAGCTGGAATTATAGGCATGCGCCACCACACCTGGATAATTTTTTTTTCTTTGTTGTAGAGATGAAGTCTCATCAAGTTGCCCAGGCTTGTCTCAAGCCCATGGGCTCAGGCAATCCTCTCACCTTAGCCTCCCAAAGTACTGGGATTATAAGCATGAGCCACCATGCCTGTCCTGGACTTAGATTTTTATCCAACTCTGTTTTTTAATGAAAGCAACTTTGACCTTGACTTTTAAAAGTTTGTTTAAGGCCGGGCTCGGTGGCTCAGCCTGTAATCCCGCGCCTTTGGGAGGCTGAGGTGAGTGGATTGCCTGAGCCCGCGGGTTCGAGACCCGCCTGGGCAGTGAGACCTCATCTCTACAATAAATCAAAAAATCAGCCGGGCGTGGTAGCGCATGACTGTAATTCCGGCTACTCGGAAGGCTGAGGCGGAAGGATCGCTGGAGCCCAGCAGGTCGAGGCTGTGGTGGCTGGGAGCGGCCACTGCACTCCAGTCTGGGTGACAGAGTGAGACTCCAACTCAAAAAAAAAAAAATTTTTGTTTAAGCATTACTACTAACTTATAAGAGTAGCAACCCAGTTGCAGAAGTCACTAACTGCTTTGTGTACATTTTCCTGAAGAAAAGGACCATCTTCAAGGAGCAAGCCTGCTTTATGTGACTTTTCTTCATAAAACCATTGGCCTGAATGTGATGCAGGAATCTTCTTTGGACTAAAGAGAATGAGATCATGAGAGAATCACAATACAGGTCACAGTGAATGCAAGTGGATTTCAAACAGTTTCATGGGGCAGAGGAAATCAGGAAGCAAATATTTCTAATAGTCTCTTGCAAGCTTTAATTTTTCAAAGATCCCATTCTCATTATCAATATCATGAAGACAATTATACTATGATTAATTATAGCAATTAAAAAACATAGCATTTCACCATTATAAGTTGATTTTATTTATTTACTTATGTATTTATTTAGAGACAGAGTCTTACTCTGTTGTCCAAGCTGGAGCACAGATCACTGCAGCCTCAAACTCCTGTGCTCACGTGATCATCTCACCTTGGCCTCTTGGTGACAATGTGTGCCACCTTGTCTGGTCAGTTATTTTTTGTGGACATAGGAACTTGTTATGTTTCCCAGGCTGGTCTTTAAATCCTGGCTTCAAGTGACCCTCCTACTTCAGCCTACCAAAGTGCTGGGATTACAGGTGTGAGCCACTGCATTCAGCCATAAATTGATTTTTTAAAGGGTGAGTACCATTTATTAAAATATGTGCCAGATCTGGGTGCAGTGGCTCACAACTGGATTCCCAGCACTTTGAGAGGTGGAGGTGAGAGGATTACCTGAGCTCAGGGGCTTGAGACCAGTCTTAGCAACATGGCGAGATCCTCATCTCTACAATTAATCAGAAAATCAGTTGGGAATGGTGGCACATGCGTGTGTTTCTAGCTACTTGGAAGGCTGAGATGGAAGGACCACCTGAGCCCAGCAGGTCAAGGCTGTGGTGGCCATGAGCATGCTACTGCACTGGAGCCTCTGTGACTGAGATTCCAACTCAAAATATATATATGCCAGGAAAAATTACTTTGTGTGAAGTCTACCAAAGCCTCAGACAATCTTGACAGCTAGTCGACATCCTTGCCATCTCTCTCCCTCATCCTAAAGTCCAGCCCACTCAGTCTGGCAGATTTTAACTCTGTCTTC